GGGTTTCTTCCTTTCCCCATCTAAGCATTGGTCTGATTTTTTCTCACTTGCTCCAGTCTTTTATACTCCTCTTAATTGCCCTTGGCTATATTTGTCTTGTGTCAGTCTCCACCAACATTAATGCACCCTCTATGCTGGTACTGTATATTAGCATATCATTCAGATAATGTTGTCACTTTTTTTGGCAAAATGTTCACTAACGGGTTTCTTTGTGTTACAATCGTTAGGAGATACTTTGGGTGTTCTTCGTGTTATGCAGTTAATTTTTTGTTTGACGATATACCGCATGAATTCCCAGCAGGGAGGCAAATCAGGCCTCTTCAACCCCACTTTTGATATTTAGCATCATCCAACAATTGGGGAGGAGGTCTGTTGACACTGTTCAGGGGGCTCTGAGGCAGCACTTGATGATGATCCTGGACATTATGGAGAGAATTTAGATAAGCTTTTTTTTTCTGCACCTTCTTTTATTCTGTTGGCTTCTCAGGAGTCTGCTTTGGGATAAGCTGCCTCAGGCTCTTTTTCTCCAGTTGGTCCATTGAGAGTGTGATGTTTTGGGTCTTTTTCCAGTTACTTTTGAGCCTGCACCTTACTTGATGGAGAAGAGGGTGATGTTGGGGCCCTCTTACTCTGGTCCCCTCAATGTTTTTTTCCCCAGATGTCAGTATGAAAAGTACCAGCCTACACAGTAGCCTACTTTTAATACTGGTTGTAATTTGATGCTCAGCTATCCAATTAGGTTGAGCATGGCCCTTCTTTTTGATCAATATTGGTCCTGTACATTGTTCATGGAAGAGGTTCAATTGTCTCCTCGTAATTCCAAACACATTCTCCCCATAATTCTGGGGTCAAATGGAAATTACCACACAGTTGGGGAGTGAAGATTAGTGTTCATAATTCCAGACCAGGTGAGTTCTGTTTCCTCAGGCATACAAGATCCCGTCATTCCAAGCCTGGAGTGTTGCCTTTAAGACTTCTTTGTGTTGATGAGAAGGTTTATCCACTCAGATGCTGCTTACTTTGTCGTCCTGGTTCCAGTGGCTACAGGTTGGGATCCACTCGTAAGTATACACATGCATAGATTGCAGTCCAATTGCTCTAGGCACAAACATGGGATATAGGGGCCATGGCCCTATAATTCCAACCCTGAGCAGTGTAATCTTGGCTATCCAGTAGTGAGGACAGACAATCCAAGTCAAAGGTAGTCTATCATGATCATCCCTGTAACTACTTTGGTGAGTGAATGGCTAATGGACTAAACTACTTATCACATCTACAGAAACATCAGGGCACAATGTCTGCCTTTTGGATTATTATTATGTAATAGTCAGCTCCTTCCTTTTAGCTGCCTTTGTTATATGTAACTGAACCAATATTGCAGTAGAGGCATGTCACATCTCTTAATTTGACTGTTGACCATATTGGACCTTTAATAATACCTAAGTGGTTGGTCTTTAGTATGAATTCTCAATGACATAGATATGACTCAAACTTCTGAACTGCCTGTATCATTTTCAACCTTCATGCTGGATGACTGAATGTGTCTTCTAGCACTTTATGTACTTCTTGCTTGGAAAAGGAACAGCAAATTTGTCATTATGAAATTTCCTAAGAAGAATGTTTCCAAAAAAAGGTCTGATGCATCAGTGCACAAAATAAATTCCTGTTGGAAGTCATGTAAATGTAAAATAGAAGTTGAGCACTTACTCTTGAGAGTGCAAAATGCCAATTCTTGACTATTATGAGTTACTTTTATTTGTTAAACTTTTTTTGTTTTTTTCTGTCACAGGAGAAGTTTAGCAACAAAGTTTGGGATTGATGGATATACAAGACTGTTTAGTTTAAGATTATTATTTAGTGATTTAATCTTTAATGATTATTTAGTTTTCATAACAAGTGTTGAAAGTTAATCATTTTAAAAGTGATAGTTATGACAAGTTTCGTTACTTCACTCTGTACGATTTGTAATTTGTGTATGCAGTTTAATTGTTGTACTAGGCTTTTATAATATTGTTGAGATCATCTTACTCAAAGCTTCCTAATTCTTCTCGTTATATCTAATATTGTTGCTACTAGAGGGCTACATGTTTCTAGATTTTTCTGTTGTGTGTTATAAATACATGCAGATACAGAAGTAAGTTAGAAAATGTTAAATTAGTGAAGTTAGACTGTGTGATTGTTAGTTTAGCCATAACGGGCGATATCTAAAGCGAGTTCAGTTTGTATTTTGAAAGGGTGTTGTAAAGTAATTGAACATGCTTGTGTGGACTTTGGTGAAAGGGAGACAATTATTAAAAGCTCTGGATACAATTGTGGTAACCAATAGTTATAGTGGTGATTACTAAAGTGAAAGTTTTGCAGGTTGTTTTGCAAGAAACAGAGTAGAGAAGAATCATTCTTCTTGTCAGTGTCCAGAAAATTGTTTATAGCTTTAGATACAACTGTGATAACCAATAGTTTAAAGAATTTCTGTCATAGGTTTTCACTACATTATTTTGAAACAAGTGGATTGTGTGCTGTCCGTTTATTGTTCAAATTCATTGCCAATAAGTCACTGAATCATACTTTATAAAACTTGACAGTGATGCACCTATGGGAAACTTTTTCAATTCGAATAATAGGTTTGGCTAGTTCTTATTTTCTGGCTACACTGTGTTTTGGATTGATTTCTCTTAGTCATGTGTTGGTTTAACTCATCCATGACCTAGAAATTCAATTTCCTCAAAGCCTACAAAACGTTTGGTTCATTTAGCTTTTCTAAACCTACTCAAGATCTATTTCAATTTACCCAAGTGCTCTTCTCAAGTCTCAGTATGGATCATTTTGTGTTTTGTAATTGCCTACATTAGTTAAACTTCTCATTAAGGTTCTTCTGACTCTGTTAAAAGTAATTGATGTGCTACTTAACTCAAACAGCATCATTTTGAATTGCAAAAGCCTGGGAGGTATATTGACACATCTTTGTAACCCTTAAGAAATCTCTTCACTCCTTGTAGTCAAGTCACATCTAAGTTGATACATATATTAACATCACTGTCTGTTCTTTCCTTCTGAGTCCTACCTTCTCGATGATTCAAAAAGGTCCTTTCCTATGCATGAGTAGTTTGTTATTGTCCTTTGGAAGAAATGCTTCATTCTGAAAGTTTCCTGTATCTAGTGAGTGTATTGTAATTCTTCCCATACTTACCTGGGACTTTAACTGCTATTTTTTTTTTTTTTTTGGTAACTTGCATGTTTCCTTTAGTCTCTAATTTAGATCTATTAACTAACAATAAACAGAAAATGTCTCGGCTGTTTCTACTTCACTTGTCCAAAGTTCTTGTAGTATGGTCATTGGCCCTTTGACAGCCCGTCCAAAGAATATAGTTTGAAGGGGATAATCTTGTACTGTCATGTGGTGTTTCTCTGTAAGCAAGTGGAAATGTCCCACTTTCTTTGCCTTTCATCAAATCATTTTTTCAGCTTTCCATTAAAATGCTGTACAAGTCTGTTGCAGGCTAGGTAGGCTCCAGATGTAAATTGAGGCCTTATGTTTATCAACATTTCATTAGTGGAGATAACTAGTTCTGCTACATGTGCTGCTACTATGGACTTTATTAAAGTAGCTTCTGTGCTTCAAAGTGCAACAACACAACAAATAACGTGAATAATGGAATGTAAATTAATAGTGTACACTCAACACCAGAGACGAAATACACTTCAAATGAGCCCTGCTTAGCTTAAACGAGTAGCATTCTGGATTTTTTCTGGAAGATCAGTACAATTTTCAGTTGTAGTTGAGAAAATCCAGTGTCGGATTTCCCTATAGGCATGGGCCTAAAGCGGCAAATTTTGAAAATAGCAATTTTTAAGAGTAATAATAATGAAAATAAAAAAAAAATATCAAACAAAAAAATGTCTGTATACATATAATTTTTTTTTCAATTACAACCTAGTGTTACGACAGCGGAAGTCCCGTGACGCTCCTAACGCATGGGTGACTGAGTTTCTCGAATTTCAGGGAAGCTCGAGTGTGATCGAGATGCCTCTTTGTTAGTATATAAGCCTGGCAAGGAAAGCCGGCGGGAATGTATGATACAGTGAACAGTAGTCACCGTGAGTTTCTGGCTAGTTTGTGTTATGCACTTGTAGAGAGCAAAGTTATCGAGATTGTGAATTGCTGTGATTTATAGTGTGTTATAAAAGTTGTTAAGTTCAAAGTGACAAGAAATGTACTGACTGTGGAATTATTGTGTACTAAAAGTTTGTATCAAGAAAGAATAAACTAGTTTAATCAAGAAAGGACTTGTATCACTGAAGTTCCTTGGAAAGAATTTCTACCGGAAATTAACAAACAAGCAGATATACAACAAATTAGTGTCAGGAGTGGGTTGGGAAAAAAATGGAAAAGAGAAGTGGCAAATCAAACTAAGATTTAGCAGATTTTATGGCAGCAATAAAATAACAGCAAAAGAATGAAGAAGAACGAGAAAATAAACAAGAAGAGAGAGACTACAGCAGTGGTTGGACAAGAAAAAAAGAAACAAGAAGAACGAAAAAAATAAGAAGAGAGAACAGCAGTGGCAAGAAAACCTGCAACAGTGGCAGTTAGAACAGCAAAATAAACAAGATAGATTACAGCAGTTGTTGGAAGAAAAAGACAAGTAACAAGAAGAGAGACAACAGCAGTGGCAAGAAAACCTGCAACAGTGGCAGCTTGAACAGCAAAATAAACAAGGGAGATTACAGTAGTTGTTGGAGGAAACAAGAAGAGAGACTACATCAGTGGTTGGAGGAGAGAAAAAAAGGGGGGGAGAGACTGCAGCAGTGGCAAGAAAATCATCACCAGTGGCAACTGGAACAAGACAGGAAACAAGAAGAATGAGAAAAGAAACAGGAAAGAAGTCTCCAACAGTTGTGGGAAAGTCAGCAGCAAGTACAGGAAAGTAAGCAACAGTGGATAGAAGTACAAATGGAAAAGATTAGTAAATTTCACAGTGAATTAAATACATCAAAGGACGATTTACTGTCTTTTACACAGGGAAGATATATTAGCCATGGACCTAATCAACTCTGACAACAGGAAAATCCTTCCAGCCCCTGAAGCTAAACCCTAATGTAGACATCTTCAGTCCTGTCAGAAGTACATTCCAGACATGAGTGTCAGCAATAGGGGTGATCTAATACGAAGGAAGCCACAGGAATTCGAGGAGAAGCATATAGAGTACAATTTGAGCTCCTGGCAGAAATGAATGGATGGACAGAGGAGCAGAAAGCAGTGTACCTGGCAACAAGCCTGAAGGGACAACCAATGTAAATACTTGAACAGTTGTCAGAAGATGACAGGCACAACTATAGAGCACTGGTAGCTGCTCGATAACTCGGGTATGGAACTCAAAATCAGTCCAAAGTCTACAGGGCTAGGTTTAGGACGAGAGTCCGTGCTAAAGAAGAGAGCCTGCAAGAGCTGGTACAGCGTTTGGAAAGTATGGCAAATCAAGGTCTACCCAACTGCACCACCCGATGCCCTCAAGCTGTTGCTGAGGGATAAGTTTGAAGCTGCTTTGGACAGGCCACAACTGAAGATACAAGTAAAGCAAGCAAACCCCTCTACTATGCAGGATGCAATGGCCAGAGCTCTTGAATTCAAATACTACATTAAGTCCAGCACAGAGGTACCAAGGTTGGTACAGTCATCAGGATTCAAGGCCAGAAAATGGCAGCTTTCAAAGACAGCACAAGAGAGCTCATTGTTGGCAACTTCAACACAGGAAAGATGCCACAGCAGGAAAGGCTGCTACCCAGAAAGGTGGAGAAAAAGGACATATGAGGAGCCAATGTAAGAAGAATACTACCAATAAGTCAGCTTCGGGAAACCAGTAGTGGTTGGGGATGAGAGACGCCCACCATTCCCCATTGTAAAAGTCCCAACAGCTAAATGTAAAATGGCAAGTACACATAGTGTCTACGTGACAGGAAAGCTGGATGGCCAAAAGTACACAAAGGCGTACCAGAAGCCATAC